GCATGATGCAGGAGACATGAATCTTTGGGCCATCCTAGGGTCTGTCTACCACATTTAATGTCATATAGCTAGATAATAGAAGCGATATGATATAGAACCTAGATTTCACATAGAAAGAGGTCCTGGGGACCAGTTATGTTTTAGAACTGAGAATGTTCGATTTTGGAAAGACAATCAAGTGCTTACACCATAGGCTCACAACACACACAGTGGAGTCTGGGACAACACCCTGTGATCAAATACTGTAGGAATACATGAGTACTCCCACCAAGTGGTCCACATACACCAAAATCAGTGGTGTTGTGTTCGGGTGAGGTTTTGTTGCCAAATGAATTCATGGCAGATAAGTTTTGCCAAACGAATTATGAAAGACCTTTGGGTTTCTAAAGCTTTGGAAATTCTAGCAAGGGATTGTGGACCTATAATAACTAACACTCATCAGGTTCTTGCCCTATGCCAGACTCAGGCTAAGTCCTGTGCAGTCTCACAGCCCTGTGGAAGGAGAGTATTTTCGAGATATTAACCATTTCCCTCCCTTTCCCTCTTCTCATTGAGATTGAGAAGGGGATGTGCAGCTCTGATAAAACACATGGTACAAGCAAAAACCAAACCAAAACAAAAAACTGGACATAGATCCCTCACCCTAGGCTGGGAAAGAGAAGGCCTGGGTTTTCTGGAAGCACAACCTTCACTGGCAGGACCCCGAGGATAAGGGCTGCATGCTGCATCTGGAGAGGCTACTGTCTTGGGTGGCCTCCTGCGTGTTTCTCCTGGAACAGAGAGGAGGGGCATCCTAACTGGACGCTCTTGGCCGTGGGGCTGTCCTTCCTGCCTTCTCATAGTATTGTGCAAGTGAGACCCCTCTTTGGAGCCAGAACAAGTCTATTTTTCCCCTGCCCATACAGGGCTGGTTGTTGAATATATACTGCTCAATAAATACTCACTGAATGACTCTCTTCAGTGAGGACTTGAAGGGTGGTGGGTGTGTGGGTGCCCTAGGCCCCTCCCCATAGGGGTTCCTATGCAGTTAACTTCTGAAGTGTTTGATGTGGCAGACCCTCTGAGCTACTTCATTACGGTCCATGTCAGTTTCCATTACATCATCCTCCACTCAAGGGACCAGAGCCTCGTGCTAAATTGGTGTGACCCTGAGGCCTGAAGTGGGAGAGTGGTTTGGGTGCTGGGCTATGTCCCCATTGGAGTGAGTCCCACCATGTCGATTGACTCTAGTCCAGGAACCCCCCACCCCTCTCCATGGCCTTTCAAGGAATGGGTGGGTCTTTTTTCTTCCCCTTTGGAAGTGTTTTTTAAGTGTGACTGCCCTCTGGTGGCTAAAATTATATATGTAAATACCCCATGGGGAATGAGAGTTTGCCTAACCGAGCAGGTTACCGAGTTTGTTTGGGATATGGGTGGGAGGATTGGAAGTAACACCCCTTTCTGCATCTGTTGGCACAAAGGTCGGATTTCAGGTATTTAATTGGACCTGGATCATTTTGGCTATAAGCTTCCTGAGGGCTGGAACCACTTCTGTTTCTGAGTGCCTAGCACAGGGTCTGGCACACAATAAGTGCTCAGAAATACCCACTGAATGAAGGGATAAACTTGCAGGCATGGCTTGAAGGAAGAAAATGCAACCTCATTCATTTTTACCTTATTTTGTTGCTTCTTCAATAGATGATTCATAGATGCTGAAAAGGCATTTGAAAAAATTCACCATCTATTATTTATTTTTTTAAAAACTTAAAAAAATCAGAATAGGGGAACTTCTTTGACATGATAAATAAACAAATCTGAACTGAGGCTTAAAGATGAAATTCCTTTACTGAAAGGATTTTTACTCAACTCAGGAACACAAGGCTGTTCCTTTTGGCAGATTGTATGTTCCAAAGGTGACCACAAGGAAATCTTTTATCCCACATGCTTTTCTTAGAATGTAATACTGACAATCCAACTACTGGGTGAAGAGTCTATGTTCCTCCCTTGCCCTTGACTCTGTGGGTGGTCTTCGCAAATCTGTCTGGGAAGATATAGTACGGTGTAAGTGATACTTTGTGACTTAAAAAAAAAAAAAAGAAAGTTTATTTATTTAGGGGCGCCTGGGTGGCTCAGTTGGTTAAGCAACTGACTCTTGATTTTGGCTCAGATCATGATCTCTTGGTTTTGTGAGTTTAAGCCCTGCATTGGGCTCTGTGCTGACAGTGGCGAATCTAGCTTGGAATTCTCTCTCTTCCTCTCTCTCTGCCCCTCCCCCATGCATGCACTGTCTCTCTCAAAATAAATAAAGTTAAAAAAAAACTTTTAAAGTGTATTTATTTTGAGAGAGAGAGTGTGTGTGCACAAGCGGGGGAAGGGCAGAGAGAGAGAGAGAGAGAGAGAGAGGGAGAGAGAAAATTCCAAGCAGGCTCCACACTGTCAGCCCAGGGCCTGACTCAGGGCTTGAACTCACACTGTGAGATCATGACCCAGGCTGAAACCAAGAGCCAGATGCTTAATTGACTGAGCCACCCAGGAGCTCTGATGCTTTGTGACTTTTAAGGTTAGATCATAACAATGCAATACACCTCTGTCTTTCTACTTCTGTCATGCCAGCTACCATATTGGGAGAGATCACTCAGAGAGGTTATGTGTAAGTGTGTCAGCCAGAGGCTGGCAGCCTGGGACCCCAGCCAACAGCCAGCAAGAACCACCAGAAATGTTGAGTGAAGACATCAATGATTCCACCCCTCAGCTACTGAATCATTCCCAGCCTTTAAATCTTTAAATTTGAGGCAGCGGATAGATAGTAAGGAGAAAGGATAAGTCATGTCCACTGTGCCCTGTCCAGATTCCCCATCTACAGAATCTGTGATTATTTCATGCCAGTTTGGGGGTAGTTTGTTACACAGCAATGATGACTAAAACATTTACTGTTACCACTATCACCACCTTGGTATTGCCACGAGAGTACCTCCTAAGAAAAAAATGAGAGGAATCAAAATTGATAAGGGGGAAGTAAATTCGTTATTTTTTGCAGTGAAATAATTACATATCTGGAAAAGCCAACAAAACCAGCTGAAAAAGAGTTAGAACAATAAGACAATTCAATAAGGGGCTGGGTTCAAAACCCAATTTATTTCCATTTTTTACTTGCATTAATGACCAGTCAACGTTGTGACTCCCATTATCAAGATTTCCGTAACATTGGAATCAATTCTCATTTAGAGACACCATCCACAGAGGATACACACCAGTGGCCAGTTTAGCAAATAAAAATACAAGATGCCCAGTTAAATTTGAATTTCAGATAAACAAAAAAAGCCCCTTACTGTACCCCGCTTCATACATTTTCCTAAGAAATTAATTTTATTCCAAACAGATATTGTTGCTCAGAGAGCAAGCCTGGACACCCTCCCTCTGGAATTTCTCCCTTGGGCAATAGTTTTATTAGATGTACCAAGGTGCTTAAAGCTTTTCCCACAATGTTTGCATCTACCCAGTGTTGAACTGAATGGGTATATTGGTACTTATGGCCCATGTGAATAATAAAAGGAGAGAAGAAAGATGAATTACAATGTTTGCACTTTTAAAAAATATTTTTACACATTTTTTAAATGTTTATTTCAGAGAGAAAGAGACAGAGCGCAAGTAGGGGAGGGAGACACAGAATCTGAAGCAGGCTCCAGACTGAGCTGTCAGCACAGAACCTGACGCAGGGCTCAAACTCTTGAACCATGAGATCAGGACCTGAGCCAAAGTCGGATGCTTAACCGACTGACCCATCCAGGTGCCCCTTAACAATGACTATTTATTTATTTATTTATTTATTTATTTATTTATTTATTACCATTTATTTTTGAGAGACAGAGAGAGACAGAGCA